TCAGGTTCAGCTTCGTATTTGGGCTATTTTTTAATCGGCTTAACATTTCCCTTCCTTTACAGATTGTTGATGAGAGTTTTGCTTCGCCGGAGAATGGAAAGAATGGATTTGCTGGAGATCGATCGATCAGCAGTTTTGACGTTTGTTTGGCTTGGATAAAGACTCTTGAAGGTCTTTCCATAGATCGCAAGTCCGATCTTCGAGATAGTTGTTTGATAACTTAGCTGCTATTCAAAAACATGCTTCAGGGCTCAGGTCTGTAATTATATTTGAGATAAGGTGAATTTGAAGGATATGTATTGCTCGGACAGAAGATTGGCACAATTATAACAGAATTAGCAGATCATGTGGACGACACTGATTTCGTTAGAATCACTAACCGCTAAGGTCATGGAGGTTTTCTTAAACTACAGAGCACCAGACAGTTTAAGCTGATATACACCGCAGACTACAGTGGGCTGGGCTTTGCATGCGAATGATGGTGTAAAGCGAATCCCACACGTATCAATATATTGACGCGGAGGGGAATTATTGACAATTATATTGATGATGTGAATACAGAATTATTGTCAATACCGATGTATTGACGTTAATATAGAATGTATTGACAATACGATTATTGTCAATAAAAACAATCGTGTAGGGTCCACTTAAAGACAATCAAAGACAATATTCGAGGAAGACGTTGGTTATCTGTTTTAAGGAGTTTGTCCTTCGATCTTTTGACCTTTTGTCATATATTAGGACATTTCAATTCCTTTCAAGAAGCAGTCTTCTGAACTTGCCCTTAAAGATCTTTGAATGTATACTGGGTCTCTGGATCGAATATTGAAGACCTTTTTATTTCTCTAGACAGCAGCATGTTTGGACCGCTGAAATCATTTAGACTGGCCATGAAATCCCCTAGAATTTGATTGCATTGGAAGATCTCTACGACTTATTTTAGCAAATTAATCAAATTTTTCACGTGCAACGTTTTAGTTCAGTGTTTGTTTTGATTTGCATTAAGAACGACGTCTGCAACGGAGGTGGTTCCAGACAAATGGTCCGCAACGGAAGGTCTATGGAACTTCCCAAGTTTTACCAAAGACCTTCCTGTGACAATCCTAAGTAGTTCAAGGGCCATTTTGGACAAATTCTGGGTTGTGAAAAAGAGCTTCACCCTCAATGAAGACAAATAAGTAATAGAAATAATATTCGAGTTTTAGGAAAAACGTGTTGATCGGAAATCTACAACAAATCCTTCTCAAGAGTAGTTGTTATCATCGTCGGTGAGGTCGCCGCCGAGATCAAAATCTAGTAACAGCAAGTTAAACCGGAACTTGGTAGTAATTGCTTTGTGAAATAAAGAACTCGGTGGCCTTGCGGGGGCCGATTTTGCTGACTGAGCAGAAAAGCATGGGTTCAATCACAAGCTGCTTCATATTATAGAGTTATGCTTTAAATCGGCTTTCTTTAATAATATGATATACAGCGCAATGAAATTCTACGTCTAGCGCAGAGAACGGGTACGTAAAATAAGTAATATTTGAGTGCTGGGAAAGACATGTGGACCGGAAATCTATATCAAATCCTTCTCAAGAGCAGTTGTTGTCGTCGCCGGTGAGGTTGCCGCCAGGATCGAAACCTAGTAAGAGCAAGATGAACGAAAACTTGATCGTAATTGTATTGTAAGGAGCTCGGTGACCTAGTGGCGACCAATTTTGCTTACTGAGCAGAAGACCGTGGATTTAAACTCAAACTCCTTGGCGCTATTGAATCTTTAGGATATCAATTCAGCATAACGTGCACCAAAACGAATTCAATCGTTTTATAAAACATCTCGGTTAATTGGGTTCTTTAAGGGTATTGAGGTAAATGCATATTCGTAATCTGCATTAAAAATGGAACCCAAACCCAAAATTTCATCAATTTTGGTACACTGGAACTATTTTAAATAAGAACGATTACTTTTGCAAAAATCACCTTATTAGCGCCCCTCGGTGTCACTTTGTATGGGAGCGAGCTGTCATTTTGTCAGTTTAGTGTCAAACAGTGAAGTTATTTTTTTGCTTTAAATCTTGGTTTAAAAATCGAGATGAAAGTGTGTGGGTTCGAAAAAAATATCGCTGTGCTCAGAAAACGAAGCTCTTTCAGATGATATATAATAACCATTATATTTTTCAAAATTAAAGAACCCAATTCTCGTGCAAGTTCAGAGGTGTTCTCGGTTTTCATTGAAGCGAGTATTACATCAACATATTCCTACCCATTCCTTTCGTGATCAGCAATCTGGTTTGCCTAGTTTTAGATCACCAGTGTTAGTCCTAGTCCCAAGCAACGTCTTTTTTTTTTCAGTGTAGTTACAGCTGATCTGGTTGCATCTTCGGGCGGCCAATTATGCTCATGAAGTCAAACTCAAAGCATGGACAAATCAATACAGAAAGTAACAATTTCAGACGACTTGAATGATCCAGAGGGTTTATAAGAGGTTAGCAAAAAGTTCTTATAGGACAAATGATCTTCAATGGAAAGCCTGCAGGACTTGTATGAATATTCTAAACGTCTTCACGTTTTTATGCCTTCAATCTTGAGGAATCCAAAGGGTGAGGTTCGAGATCTTGAAAGGGAGATCGAAGAAATTTCTACGGTTATTTCAAAAGTCTTCAAGTCAGCACCAACATATTCACATCTCGTCATAGACAAATTAATCAGGGGAATAACAAGTGTCATCCCAGAAAAAAAAACTGCCAAGAACAAGTTCATACTAAGTCAAATTCAAATTCAGGGTCGGCTCCGAAGTCTTCTTTATAAGTAAGTCTAGATGGCTTCTAGTGCATAAGTGATCTGAAATATTTGGTCCTGAAAACTTCCAGGGTAAATCCAAAGGTTGTCAAGTAGCAATGCAGAGCAGTTTCTGGGATAGTCCATAGCACTTCCAGTGCAAATTTCTAGGTTTGTCCCTTGCATGTCTCTAGTAGTCAATGCATTGGAATTCAAGGGTATGCCCAGAGGAAAATCGGAATTTCTCGTGGACAAATCAAGAGAATAACAGAAACCAATCCATCTAGCCTTTAGATCAAGTCCAGAGAACTTTAAAATCAAGTTGTCAGGCCTTCAAAGAAAGTCTAGAGAGCTTCTAGGATAACTGGATCATTTTCCGGTCGTTAGTTTTAGGATGGAAATTGTCTCCACTTCTCAAGGTCTTATTTTTGGTCCTCATTAAATCGACGACAGACATAAGTTCCAGAAGAATGTCATAAGCTGGTATGAGTAGAAATTTCATGACGAGTCAATCCAGAGTACTTCTAAACCAGATCATCAGAGGTCTTTTTGTCTTTCAATCCTGGAACGATTCAATTCGGCGTTCAACTCACTGGAATAGCGAAATTAACGACCAGAAAGCTGGTCGATGCCAGACTTGCCCTATTCGATATCAAGTTAATTAAACGACGTCACTTGAATCGTGTATTTGCGCTTCAAGTAGGGATCTAGAGCGGTATTTGGACCAGTACTGTGGCCACTTAAGCCATACTTTTAAGCACGTTATGGGTAAGCCCAGAGATCTTTGAGATATATTCAATGGTGCACAGACAGTGTGACTACCGAAATTTAGTCATGGATAGAATTGAATGGAGATGACTCTTTAGTACAGCACAGGCCAACTCGCTCTTCTAAAAGGACAAATTGAAAGATTTTCAAGAGGGAAAATGCAGTTTCAGTCCTGATGAGTTCACAATTTTATAGGCCAAGTCCGAAGATCTTCACGAATCATTCCATAGCACCAAAGGCACCTTGGGAACTTTTTGGCAAAATTCAAAGCACGTAAAGAAAATGTATTATTCGATGTATTATTCTTCGATGCAAGCAGCAATAATATTTACAATATCGGACAAATCTAAGGAATTCATGCCACTTGATCACTGAAACAAATTGAAATAAAGAAAAGACCTAATGTGATTTGTAAAATAGTGTGGGGTGCGATGCATCTAAATTTTTGCAGGAAATCTTCAAAATCTTCATCAATCTTCCTTCTATCTACAAAGCATGCGAGCATCTCACAACAGCTAAGCAAAATTTGTTCCTGCATCTTAGATAGAGTTGCCCTCTTGGTAAATATAAATGTTACTTGCATCGAAGGATGGCCTTTCAAGTTAAGAGATGTTCAAGGGCAAGTTTACAGATCATCAAAAACAAATGGTTTTTACAAAGTTTGGTTCTATAAAAATAACTCCAGTCTTCAAAAACAAATCCAGAGCAGTTCTTCGGCAACACCAAAGGATTTCAAGGGGCATGGCGAGAGTTTCATGACCATTCCCAAGAACTTTTCAGACAAATGCAGGTCTAGAGATCTACATGGATTAATCCAAGATCTTCGACATCACTCGCAGAGGACTTCAAAGGCATACGTTACTAAACTACTTTTATTCGAAAGGAATCCACAATTGTTTCCTCTTTATTTGTTGTCTAAAGTCCACAGCAACTTTCCAAATCCAGAAATGTCTCCTCACCAAATTCCCTCAGCGCGCCGCCGGCAAGCGTTCTTATCAGTTTGAAATTCTTCAACCGCAAAGGTAAACAGAAAACAGACAAAAAAATAATCATACAATAACAGCACAGAAAATGAAAGAAACTAATCCATCTCTCTGCTGGGCGTCGGGTCACTGTTTACGTTAGGCTTAGGCTTGGCGCTGCGTTTCTCAACTAGTAAGCTCAAAGTAAACTCCCTCCCCGAGGTCGGAGATATGCCGGAGCTGATTTGGCCATAGCTCTAATCTAAAAGTTCGGACCCGGTTCGGTTTTGCACGGCTCAGTGCCGGCAGCCAGCAGCGGAGGGATATCCGTTTACATACACAATTTCCAATGATTTATGGCATTCAATTAATCATATTTGCTTTATCTTTATCGCTCTAGCCAGATCCGTCCAGTTTCGTTTTCGTTTTTTTGGGGTTAGGGTGATGTTAAATAGTTAGAAAATTGATCCACCTTTGCGAAGACACAATCGAAACGTCAATGCTTACCGTCACTATTACTGCTGGTGCTGCTGCTGCTACTGGTTTCTAAATTGCGATCGATGTCTGCAGCGCAACTGTATCCAATCATACTGGGACACTTCTTTTCCCCCAACCAGAAACCACTTGTCTTGCCACTAGTCGTCGGGCAAAATACATATATTTTATCGAAACACTTCGTCACTTCACTAAACACTGGACAGATTTACTCTTTTCCCACTTTTGCTCGCTTCCTCACCACTCACTTCCTACCTCTGCCCGCATCCAACAGGACTCGACTGTATATGTGCGGATATGTATATATGCGTGTACTTTATATTTCTCACTCTCTTCCTTCTCAAGTACCCACCACTTCAGCAGTGCAGATTTCTTCCTCTTATTCTGGACTCGATTCCCTCGCCGTTCACAACTGCGATGGACGCTGGTAATAAATATCAATTTTATATCCTCTTTTGGTGTGTTTTTTTCCCTTCTTACCGATTCACCTCGCTTTGCGATTTTCCTTGTTATCCTTTTTACTTGGGTCGATTTGATTTATATCACCACTCTCGGTAACTCGGCAATTTTTACGACTCACGAGCCGAGATTTGGACACTCACTTGATTATTCCGCGGGTCTCACTGCCTTCTCAATTTCCTAAAATCTTCTTCCTTCTTCCTGCACCAGCTTCATTTCAATCAACAATTGCGTCGACCCCCCGGCGGCGGTGACTGAGTTACTGCGCGTTCCAAAAATACATCATCAGAGGAGGCGGTTGCAAGTTTTTTCCTCATTGTGAACCTAAAAAAAAAATGCGGGGAGCGACCAGGCATCGTTTCCCGATGGGAGGGAGGATGACGAAAAGGAAACAAAAAACGATATTAGATAATAAATATTAGCATAAATGACACCATCGCATCGTGGGATTGAAGTGATTCCGCGTCGCAGCGCACAAGGCTTTCGTGGTTCTCAATTTGCAAATCTCTCACGCAGAGAAGCCAGGTAACTCATTTCGCCTTTCGGTTGGTTCTTATATTTTTAATAATAGGTGGACGCTCAGCGCAGCGGGAGGATCTCATGGAGATGATTGTTCTTGGCTTGAAACAGCTGCACAAACATATCGAATGACGAGGGTCTCCCCCTAGTGGGATGCACTTTGTTTACACTGTAGTTTTGTTTGAAATTAGTGACAGTTAATGAGGGAGGGTTATTAAATTTGAAACTAGTTTTTTTTTTCCAGTGGGAGAGATAAAAGATTTCTAAATGCGTGAGGTGGTTTGTGCTCATGTGGAAATGGTTTAATGACGGTGCAAGTTCAAATTATATTTTTCAATTGATTTTACGATTCTGTTTCCATAGAAATATTCTTGAAGAGTGCTCGTGCAGTTGTAAGCTGGACATAATTCGCAGCTAAATAGTCCTATACCGATGTATCGTTGACTTTGACAAAATATGGTCAACTCACGATTCGAGGGAAGCTCAACTGAAATTTACTTTGATTTCTTTGACAGATTTTCGGAGAATAAAAAAAAACGCATAAATTGAAAGATCAATTTTTCTTCAACCATCGGAAAATAAACTAGGGGAAATGTCGGCTTCGGCAATACCTTAACCTATTATCGTCAGGGGGTAAACAAAGTCCTAGAGCACTCAAATTTTGTCAATAAATGCTCTGAAACACAATGTATGCCAAAATTGAGCTCTCAAGGATGTTGTTTACCCCCTGACGATAATAGAGTAAGGTATTGCCGAGTCCGTCATTTACCGTATAACGAAGGGGTATTGCAAAATATTTCTGTACAATATGTGAGTGTAGTGATGCGCCTACACTTGTATGACAAACTTTTAGCATTACTTGTATAATAAAGCTCATGCTCATCCATGATCACGCTTGTATAGTTTTTGTATAGTGCTCATAATTTATTATACAAATACCATGAACCCCCGACGAATCGTGCACATTAAAGGGCCACCCACATTAGATCCGTTTGCGTTGCGTTGACGTAAATTTGACAGTTAGACAATAGATTTAGCTGTCACTTTGTCGCAACGCGTCCGATCCGGATCTAATGTGCGTGGGCCTTAACGGGGTTCATTTTTAATTTGAACTTCTAGTAACCCTCAAGGGGTTGGTCACTCCACACAGAGTGTAAAAACCAGATTTGGACCTGGATATTGCGAACTCTGTCGATTTAAGTTTTCAAGTGAGCAAGAAAACATCTTGAAAATCTTTCGAAGCTTCAAATTGTTTTGCTGAAACAACTCACGAAATCGTATATACATTATACATGCTGTCAAATGAACTCTTGGCTCCTCCTTCTCTGCTCCACAAATAACGTTTACATGGTGTTGGGAGTGCACCTGCCCACAAAGCTCACATGACTCTTATAAAGTTGGATTAAATTTTTGTTTCAGCAATTCGTAACCCAGTTTTGGCATTATTATAAATATCAAATAAAAACACTTATTCGAGCATCACGTTCGGTGATTTACATTATCCGCCTACTAAGGTTGATGTTTCGAACGTTTCATAATTATAATTATTAATTTGTTTTCAGTAGGTGGCAATACCTTGTAACCGTTTAATTACAATGTCCTAGGTTTTAATTTGTGCATGTTGTTTTAGGAAACTGTAGTGTTTGTTTAGTGTCAGTGTCGGGTTAGTAGGATTAGTAGGATTGTAGGTAAAATTGCTATTATTGAAAAATGTATAAATTTGTCTTAGTAGGTAGTTTGAAAATGATATTTGTTTATAAGCTTAATTGGATGTGACAGGATCGAAAGGGTGTTATAATCAACTGTGGTAGAAAAACACAATAGGCGAAGGAGATGATATGGATGGGTGGAAGGAAGGAAAATGGAGGAAATAAGGAACGAATTGAAAACTGGATTGGAAAAGGAGGGCTTCTGATAGCTGGGATGGTCAACCATTGCCCAGAAGTAAACCGGCGTTTGTGCCTAGAAGACGTGAGTGGAGTGCAAAAGTGAACCAAAGTGTAGAGAACGACCTTTTTATGTTCCTGGTGTTCATTCAGGACCTTTTTTTGGTATTCGACGGATATCCTCACGATCGGCACTTTTCGACCAAGTCAGTCTCGACTGTCTTGGTCTAAACGTCAAGGACCTTCAACTCTCCGGCTTAATAATTGCCAGAAAGGAGAGCATCCTCGGACTCGGTAGTCCTAATTGTTAAGGAGCAAGACCCTTCTCGGCTCGACCAAGGTGGCCTTGTCACGGTCAGCTGATGTTCCCAACGAACGGAGACGCCGTTGACACCGAAAAGGCTACTTCAGTAGCTGCACAGGGATTGCTATATTCCCTGGTTGCGAACCGCCATCGCAACGCGCAAACCCAAGCCTTAAACCCGCCATTGTAGTGATCACAGCTCCAGTCACCAGGCGCCATCTTCCAGACCAGTTTAAGACACCGATCCGCCATTGTCGACGGAGTGATTAAGCCACGGATCGCCATCGCGGTCAAACAACAGCTGCCCAATATAATCACCGCCATCGTCCAGCAAACACCACCGGTACGTACCAAGGAAGCAGAAAAACACAGAACACACCCCATAATAGCCCAATAAAACCATCCGCACCATAGTTCCATTTTAATAAACTTCTAGACTTTTTCCACCCACACTTTAGCTTCCAATTAATTTCACTATCACTTAAGAAATCCCACAGAATGCCGGCCCTGTGACACAGTTCAGGGGTCTCATGTTACTGAGCTAGATATCCGAGCGTCTTGGTTGAGCCACATAGGGTGAGTATCATATAGTCTCAACCTTTACTTGTGGTTCAATAAGTAACTATCCACATGACTTCTGAGCTCTTTTGAATGTTTGGCTCCCGTTTGACAGTTCGACTCGGCTCCCAGATGACAAGCATTTTGAGTTAGTTCGCAGTACTCAGATTTGGACACACTCATTGGCACAGTTTGGCACTCATAGTAGAAATGTTCATGATCGTTGAAGTTACTGGCAACACTGTACTATTTCTGCGCCTGTCATTGGTGTTGACACAATCCGATTTTTGGATTCGTTTAACTGCAACCGCGAATTTTCGGCCAAGATCCACCCTAGATTCTGCAAAACCGTGTTAGATTCCCCAGCAGCGAACATCCTAATGTCTGTCCGAAGCAGTACATTTTCCATAGCAGAAAATATATGAAAACCAGGGCAATTGGCACAGCGCTGAAAATGAGAGAACAGCTGACCACGGATTTATGTCGGAAAGGTAAATAGTCGAATCAAAACAAACGAGGTACCAGGACCAGGACGACCGGATGAGCGGCACCGATGGTGTAGCGGTAAGTGTGATTACCTCTCACCCCAGCAGGCCTGCGTTCAATACCAGTCGGCGCCGCCGGGATGTTCTGAGGCATAACATCTCTGATCACGCCTTCCTTCGGAAGGGAAGTAAAGCCGTTGGTCCTAGGTTCATTAGTCGATGGGTCGATAGGTAGAGTCCAGGTGTGGGAGCTGCCTCCCTGGCGTCGGTAGCATTGGTGCACAGAACAGAAAACAAATCAAAGAAAAAAAAACAGGACGATCGAAGTTGTTCGATGTGAAACCGTGCTGTGATCGGTCTTGACAAATTCACCCCGGTCTACTCCCGGAATCGGTATTCATATCCTCGAGTTTCAGCCGCTTGTTGCTTGTTGTTCACATATTTAAACAAAACAATTCAATTGTATTAACTTTCATGAGAAGGGAAGATGACGAGTCAAGGAAGAGAAACAAGAAGAACGGTGCCCTCCACAACTACTCTCCCGAGTAGCACACTTTCATCACAATAAGTTACAGCAACTTGTTTATGACTGAAATAAGTCTTATATAAGTTTCCACCTTCATGTGACAATCCTAAGTAGTTCAAGGGTCATTTTGGACAAATTCTTTCTTGTGAAAGTGCTTCACCCTCAATGAAGACAAATACGTAATAGGAATAATATTCGAGTTTTAGGAAAAACGTGTTGATCGGAAATCTACAACAAATCCTTCTCAAGAGTAGTTGTTATCATCGTCGGTGAGGTCGCCGCCGAGATCGAAATCTAGTAACAGCAAGTTAAACCGGAACTTGGTAGTAATTGCTTTGTGAAATAAAGGGCTCGGTGGCCTTGCGGATACTTAGCAGAAAAGCATGGGTTCAATCACAAGCTCCTTCATATTATAGAGTTATGCTTTAAATCGGCTTTCTTTAATAATATGATATACAGCGCAATGAAATTCTACGTCTAGCGCAAAGAACGGGTACGTTAAATAAGTAATATTTGAGTGCTGGGAAAGACGTGTTGATCGGAAATCTATATCAATTCCTTCTCAAGAGCAGTTGTTTTCGTCGCCGGTGAGGTCACCGCCAGGATCGAAACCTAGTAACAGCAAGATGAACGAAAACTTGATCGTAATTGTATTGTAAGGAGCTCGGTGGCCTAGTGGCGACCAATTTTGCTTGCTGAGCAGAAGACCGTGGATTTAAACTCAAACTCCTTGGCGCTATTGAATCTTTAGGATATCAATTCAGCATAACGTGCACCAAAACGAATTCAATCGTTTTATAACACATCTCGGTTAATTCTCGTGGAAGTTCAGAGGTGTTCTCGGTTTTCATTGAAGCGAGTATTACATCAACATATTCCTACCCATTCCTTTCATAGCCAGCAATCTGGTTTGCCTAGTTTAAGATCACCAGTGTTAGTCCTAGTCCCAAGCAACGTCTATTTTTTTTTCTATGTAATTACAGCTTATCTGGCAATAACGGAGTTGCATCTTCGGGCGGCTAATCATGCTCATGAAGTCAAACCCA